AACCGCTTCTTCTCTGACAAGCAGAGATTCATCGATGAGATCAACAGTGTGACTGCAGAGAAGCTCATCTACAACTGTGCTGTAGAGATGGTAACCCCTTTTAAGGCTTGGTACTGTGTAGCTCTACTTTTCTTCTAGACATCTTTTCAATCAAATACCCATTTGACTTTATCATGTTTTAAATTTTATTTGAAAAGAGATTTTTGCTAAAGGATGCGTGCGCTTCCCAGAAGAGAGAGACAGGCAGAGAGAAATCACATACACACACACACACACACACACATACACACACACACACACCCCAGGGAGATAACCACGCCACAGTCCCTTCTCCTCCATTCTCGTCTCAGGATCTTGGACACACATGCACGCATGCCCAGTGTGGATTTTAAGTCGCTGGGTCCACTCAAACCACAGTTGACTGTGTGGGAGTCCAGCAACATTACCATTACTCCATCTGCTGGTCCCTTGACCTTACCCTTTTAAAAGAATGTATGCCCCACTTACCTTTCTCAAGTCCCAAGCATTGTGGATCCTCTCCTGCAAAAGAAAAGTAGTTGGATTTAATCAGCATCTAAGTAACAGTGTGATATAATTTAATATATTTACCGTAATTTATATATATGCTGCCCCATTTCATTGGATTTTATTCTCTCTCACTAAACATTGCTAACATTAGGCATTACTTAACCTTTTTATAGATTGCATCTAAAAGCATTGGCTGGATCTGCTTCTGCATTTTGTACTGTTTAAGAAACTGTGGCTTGATAATACTGTTAGAAAAAATACTACCCTGAGGCCAGCAGGTGGCATGGAATTGAAGGCTCTGGATCCCACATGGTTGACTGCGCAGTTCGAGTCCCAGACCTTGTGACTTGAAAATCATGCTGGGCCCAAGTGTGTGTGTGTGCCCCAAATCCCAAGTGGAGGGACCAGCAGTTGGCGTAATAGCTATGTTGCTGGACTCCCATGTAGTCATACACGGCTCGAGTCCCCTAGTCCCAGACCCGGTGGCTTAAACTCAGTCGGGTGCATGTGCATGCATGTGCAAGATCCCGAGAGGAAAATGGATTGCTGTGTGGCCATCCCCTCTGGGGGGTGATTTCTCGCTTTCTGTCTGTCCTTCTCTCTTTGTCTGGTGAGCGCACACGCCCTATAGCAAAAACCTCTCCAAAGAAAGACAAATCCCAAGTGGAGAGTGGAGGAGAAAGGATTGCCATCCTCCCTGGGGAGGGGTGGTGTGAGTGTTCACTTCCCCTCACTCCCTCCTTCCCTCTCCCCCTTCTCTCTGTCTCTAGTGAGCATATGTGGCCTATAACAAAAAAAAAAAAAAAAAAAAAAAAAGGAAAAGGAACTACTGCCCTGTTATCCCATGCCCCAAAACTCAGGCTTAGGTTTTACTTACTGACCTTGCTGAGGGTAGACACAGAGTAGAATCTCTTCCAGTAGGTCATCGTTCTGAAAATCATTTGTTTTCTTCTCATTACTGGGAAAACAATTGTTCTGAAGAATAGATAAAAGTAGCGACTGTTAACAAAAGGGTTTAGAGGGGGACAGTTTATTTATCGCCCATCTTTACCACATTGCCGTAAGAGAGCTCCTTCCCGCATCCCTACCTTCATCGTCCACCGTGAGTTGTACTGTCCTGCTATACCCTTGGCCTTATTTTGAAAGCCATTGAAATAAACAGTGAAGTGAAAATAACTGCGGAGTATACACGGTGATGAGACTGATATGTATGTGTTGTTCTAAACCACTGACATGAATAATATGCATTGTATTGCTCAATTCTGAATTAAGACATGATAGGATGGGGGTCAGCAGATGGCATAGTGGGTTCAAGTCCCAGACCTGGCAGCTTGTTTTCTCTCTCTCTGGTGAGTGCATGTGCCCTATAGCAAATTTTAAAATAATAATTAAAATAAATAATTCTTTAAAATAACCAAACATTTGATATGATGAATTGTGTTTTAGTTTTGTGCCAGGAAAAGGTCTCCCTTATAAGAAATCACAGTGCTTCTTCCGTTTAGATCGAAGCCCTGTGCCTTCCGGATGTTCCCCTGGGCCCTGGCTGTGTAGTGAGCTTGGTGGTTAGCAAACAGGTTACGTTTTCCTCTTCCCTTTTATAGCTCTAACTCTCCATATCCATCTTACTTACTTTATAATAAGCAACTTTCTATCTTTTTGAAGGAAAAAGAGCTTAGGTGGCTCATTGGTTAAGGCGCTGGACTTCCATATGACCAACCATGGTTCAAGTCTCAGACCTGGTGGTTCACTTTCTCACTTTCCCTTTTTCTCTCTGTCTCTCTCTTATCGGTCAAATTTAAAATAATGAAATAATAGTTAAAAAACAATTATTCTAAAAACAAAGAAAAGGTAAATTAAGAGACTAGATCATTGAGAGTTCTGGGCATTTAATGATGAAGGAGAGCATACGATGCTGCCGGGAGTCCCTGTGGGTAATGCTATTGTGTGCTCTTTCTGGAAAGCTCTTCTCACCTTTCCTGTCACCTAGTTCACATCTGCTCCTTCTTATAACCGGGCCTACACATCACCTCTGGAGGCTCGCCATGGTCTCCTCCTCCGACAGTCAGAGTTGCCTTGCCTCCTGTGCGCGCTACACCACTGGTGCCTCCTTCCGGGGTCCCTCCTGGCCCTAGTAGAATTACATGTGTGTGAGCCACCAGCTCCCTGCAGGCTGCGAGCACTCTGCTGGGTGCTTGGTACCTGCACTTAGTAGGTGCCCTGTAAGGCTAAATGAACGAGTGAATGAATGACTACACCTAAAAAATCCTAGACAAGAAGAAAGAGCTGATAAGTGACTTTTATCATGTTAGCGTAAGAGAATCCGCTTTGATGAAGTGCAGGTTACCCTACTATGGAAGTTATGTTTAAAATAAACTTTTCGTGTTTTAAGTTTCTTTGTTTTTGTCATTAGAGAGAGACAAAAAAAGGCAAGTGCTCTCAACAGGGTCTCCTCTGCTGTCACCTCCTCCCTAGGACCTTCCCAGCTAGGGGGGGGTCATGGTCAGGCACGTGCACCCAGCCTGCTCAGGCCACCTGGAACTGAACCCTGCTCTTCCACGTGACCCCAGGTATGGCAGAGCACGACACCCCACTGCACCCCCACTGCCAGGTTGTGGAATAAACTTAGCAAGGTTGTGGCCTGGTGGCTAAGGCAGCTGGATCCCATACAGCCAACCCACAGTTTGAGCCCCTGATGGTGAGGCTTGAGAAACTTCACCCAGTGCGTGTATACTCAAAATCCAAAAAGGAGGAACAGAGGTGGAGAAGAGGCTGCAGCGTGGCCATTCCCCACAGTGGGTGCTCTTCTCTTCTCCTCTCTTCTCCTCTCTTCTCCTCTCTTCTCCTCTCTTCTCCTCTCCTCTCCTCTCCTCTCCTCTCCTCTCCTCTCCTCTCGTCTGGCAAGCACATGCACCCTCTAGTCAAAATAAAGATCAGTCCTGACTGAATACCAAAAGGCTGTATGACTTTCACTGTCATTGTGTTCTGATTTTTGCTGTCGGTGCACGTACTCATCAGAGAGAAAGAGACAGAGGAGGAAAGTAAGAAAGCACCTTCCCCGGTGTGGGGTAACAGTCATGCCACAGTCCTTTCTCTATTCTCTTGGAATTTGGGCACCCCTGCACATGTGCCTGGTGTGTCTTTGAAGCCACCCGGTCCAGGACTTGAACTGTACAGTTGGCCATGTGGGATCCAGCTGCCTTAGCCACTATGTCACCAGCTAGCCCGTAGAAGGCTGTTTTTGAACGATGAAAAGCTTTTGTCAGAAGCTGTTTATTCTTGTGAATCTTCAAGTTTTATAGATTAAAACTTGGTCAAAACATGTTCATGTTCAGTAGAGTCCATGTAAAGCCACGTTGCTCAGTGGATTTGCACTTCCTTGGGAAAGCTGAGCGTCATGTTCTTGTCTGGTCTAGGTTCAGTCTGCAGCCTTGGATGAGATGTTTCAGCAGACTGAAGATATCGTCTATCGCTATCACAAGGCAGCCCTTCTTTTGGAAGGCCTAACTAAGATTCTGCAGGACCCCGCAGATATCGAAAATGTGCACAAATGTAAGTTGGCTTGTAAAGCAGGATACCCATTGCAATTTGGCCGTCTGTGGGTCAGGCGAAAGGTGCGTAGTTTGGTATTTTTACTGTCTGGGCTTGAGTCTTGGCTTTCCGACCATGAGCAGATGACCTAACTGCTCTGTGGCTTCAGTTCCTTCTGCTGCTGTGTAAGCTGGGCAGCAACAGCTGCTTACAGAGGGCGGGGACTAGAGAAGGTGCCTGTAAGGCACTGGTGGCCTTGTCTTTAGACTTTCGCTGTCTACCCTGCCTTATTCTGTGGGCAAGTTTGTGTTCACCTATATGGGAAAACTTTGTTTTTATTAAAAAATGAAGCTTTTCTTTTGAGAGATCTTTGCTATAGATTGTGTGTGCTCTCTGGGGAGACAGAGGGAAAGTGAGAAATCACCCCCCAGGAGGTGGGCGACATGGCCACATCAGTCCCTTCTCCTTTACTTCCCCTTGGAATTTTGGGTATGTACACACAGTGCCTGGCATGAGTTTCAAGCTGCTGGGTCTGGGACTCAAACTGCGGTAAGCCATGTGGGAGTCCAGTGCCTTAACCGTTATGCCACTTGCTGGCCTAATAAATGCAACTATTTATTTTTCCTTTTTTGTGAGAGAGAATTTTGCTATAAGATGCGTGTGCTCACTGGAGAGACAGAGACAGAAGAACAGAAGTCGAGAAATTACCCCCCAGGGGGGATGGCCATGCCATCCTCTATTCTCCTCTCGGGATTTTGGGCATGCAAACACATGCACACTCTCAGGATTTTGGGCATGCAAACACATGCACATCCAGCATGAGTTTTAAGTGACCAGGTTGGGGACTCGAACCGCGATTAGCAACATGAGAGTCTAGCAATGTAACCATTATGTTATCTGCTGGTCCCTAAATGCAACTATTTTAAGCACTAATGGGCAAAGTAACTGAAAAATCCTGCGAAGAGCCTGTGTGCCACAGATGTGTAGATAACAGGGGGACGTTGGTAGGATACCAGGGCGAGGTTACTACTTGGCAAAGTGAGCGTGTCTGGTTTTTGAGGAGGAGGTGGCAGACCTGGGTTGCACATGGTCGTGACACGTTTTGAATGGCTACAAGAGAATGACAATCCTAGAGTTATTTGCACTTGTGAATAAGCTGCCTGTTAAAACCTAAATGTTCATTATATGACCTGCTTATTTCAGATTTGCCACTAAGCAACGCTAAGTTAGAAGTCAAATCTAAACTCTTTGTCGGGCAAAAAGAAGAAAATATGTTTAGAACTGTTCATTTTGGGTGGAACCAGCAGATGGTGTAATGGTTATGTTGCTGGATACTCATATTGTCCACCCCAGTTCGAGTCCTGGACCTGGAGGCTTAAAACTCACGCTGGATGTTTGTGCATGTGTGCCCTAAATCCCTAGAGGAGAATGGAGAAGAAAGGATTATGGCATGGCCATCTCCCTGGAGGGTGATTTCTCTCTTTTCTGTCTCTGACAGGCATACATGTCCTATAGCAAATATCTTTAAAAAAAAAAAAATCTAATCTGTTAATTTTGGGGCCAACACAGAATAGAGACAATGAGAGAACAGCAGTTGGTATAATGGCTATGTCACTGGACTCCCATGTAGCTGACCATGGTTTGAGTCCTGGACCTGGAGGCTTAAACTCAACGCCAGGTGCATGTGTGTGATAGAGAGGAGAATGGAGGAGAAGGGATTGCGGTGTGGCCATCCCCCGTGGGGAGTGATTTCTCACTTTCAAAGAATAGAGACAATGATATATGTTGTGAGGTTGTCAGTCTTCTCATTTGTTCTTCTGTCCTTGGTGTTAAAATGTAAACAATTTTCTACGACTTTAATTTTTGTTGCTCTGTTTCTAGACAAATCAAGTATTGAAAGGAGGTTGTCGGCACTCTGCTACAGCACCGCCACGGTGTGAGACGGTGTGAGGGCAGTGAGTCCGCCCGGGACCAGCGGTGGAAGCGGGAGGGATTCAGCTTGGGCTCTGCCACCCCATCCCCAGGAGACTCTAGTTTCTTACCCGGTGACTACCAAAGAACAAGCAGTGATTTCAGATGGGAAAAACAATCCAACAACTACATACTTGTAGGAAATCTGCCTTATTGGAGAAGTCACCCCTTCCCTTTTTCTTTGTCGAAGCAGAAGCAAGAGTATTACCACTCAGCTCCCAGTTTGAACGTGGTCAATAAATGTACCTTAGAACTAGGATTATCAGTGCGGTTATTCTTAAGTTATTCTTAATTACAAGTGAGCCACACGAGTGCTCTCCACTCACCTCCCCAGAGTGATGCGTGAATTCAGTGTGTCTGAAGAGCCGTAGAAGTGAAAGGGTCGACTCTCATCCAGGCAGCTTGATACTTGAGGTAAGTCCGGCTCAGTCTGAGCACGCCTCTTGAAACAGCTTGGGAAGAACTAGTGCAAGAAGAAGCAAGAGATGGCTCTGGCAAGAAGTTTTGAAATCTCCAGTTTAATCTAATACAGACACACGTTAATCTTCCAAAATCTTTCATATTGCACTAATTTATTAAAACAACTGTGTATTGGATTTTACAATTTGAAACTAACTGAGGCACAATGGACTTGTTTAAAATATTTTACTTGATTATATATACATATACCCTTTCCAGATCCACATGTAATCTCTAGTGAACTTTTAAACGGTCAGCATTTGTGTTCGTGTGAACCTCTGCTTTTTCTTTTTAGACCTGTCAGCGCCGCCTCCTGCCTCCCTGAGTGATCCTTTGAGTTGCTGGCTGTCGCTCTCTGGGCTGCATCTTCCTCCTGCATGCAGAATGTGTGTTGATGCCTGTGTCCTTAGGTCCATTAAAGGCTAGGCTTATTTGGGCAGTATTAGGAAAAATAAGAATGAAGAGGTATTCTTGAGACAGAGCTGGTGATCTAGAGGCTTGTTAGTGACGCGGTGTTTCTACATGAAGCGATTGAGCAGTGGGTTTGCTTTCTCGTAGGAGAATGGGCAGCGCTCTCCAGCCTCGTGTGGTTTTCGTGTTCATCCTGACCCAATAGCTAGTCGTGGAGAATGCAGGCAGTTACCTTCTTTGGTTTCTTTTACTTACCTGCTTGAATACTTGAATAAACCACTCACCAGTTTTAATCCTTTTATTTTGATCCTTTTACATGAAAGAATCTGAACTCTTTGACAAATTGTACAGAAGCTCTTTGGCATTAAAATAATTTTAGTGTACTGATAAAACACACCAAGACAGACATGTTTTTCCTTTACTTTGACAAAGTAATGTACTTTTTACCTTATTTATCTGTATGAAATTCCGGCAGTTAATTTGAGCACTTATTTATAAGATGTTTGTATTTTTAGATCTTTAATACAGTGTTTCTACCTCTCATTTGTAACTGCATGCATTATTCTTGAAACTAGGTGAAACTCACTGAATTATTGTGTAATAGCCTTTTTATTATTGCCTGTACAGATGTATTTGAAGGTAAAGCAAAGCTGACGGTGTTTCTAGGGTACAATTGGGGTGTACTGAGTGGCCAGGAAGCCCAGTGCTTCCTCAGTGAGTGCAGAGGCTCCGGGGTTTCTGATGCTCGGTGACTGTCGTGCAGGCTTCCACGGACACAGGCTGTTCGGTGACGACTCCTGCCCTCCCTGTAACCAGTGACCCCGCATTTTGTATAATGTTTAGAGTTTACAGTGTCACTTCATTGTTGTTCTCTCAGTTCATCTTCCCAGTGGGTAGTTTACTCTGTCCCTTCTCTCTCTCGTCGTATAACACAGGGTCAGACAGTTTCAAAGAGGGTAAGTGACTGGTCCTGCAGTCAGAGCGAGGCAGGCGGTCCAGCCGTGCTTGTGTTTCCCAGCTCATTCTTCCCCTCTTGTACAGTGAAGGTCCTGTGGCAGGTGGTGTGTGTGCAACAGTGAAGTCTCCACAGCAGAGAAGAACAAGTCGTAACTCCATGAGCGATGGTTCTGTTATACTTCCACTGTCAAGGCTAATTGTTTCAAGATTGGATTTTGCCTTGATCATAGCAATAATAAACAAATGCTTTATGTTTCCATGAGTGTTCATGAAATATGTCTTGTGTTCTTTCTTTTTTTTTTTTTTTTTTGAGAGATTTTTGCTATAGGTTGCATGCACTCACTGGAGAGTCAGAAAGTGAGAAATCACCCCCTAAGGGGGTAGCCATGCTGTAATCCCTTCTCCTTCATTCTCTTCTTGGGATTTTGAGCACGCATGCACACACACCCAGCGTGAGTTTTAAGTCACCAGGCCTGAGACTTGAACTGTGGTCGACTACATAGGGGTCTAGGGACATAACCATTACACCATCTCCTGGTCCCATGTCTTGTGTTTTAAAATAGAAGTGTCCCAACCCACACACTCATAGGTTGGTTCCTATACTGAAGCCATAACAAGTGTAAGGAGAGGCAAAGAGTTTGCTGATTACCTTTTCCTGCTGCAATGGCTTGCATTCACTGTGCTCCAGGCTGGACTTGAAGATGCAGGCTCCACCCAAAGGGTTATTTCCCATAGTGCGTGCTGCCTTCCCTCCACCGGGAGGAAGGACCAACCCAACTGGTTCCGCCTAGCAGAGTCGTGGAGCTGGAGGGTGGTGTCGTTAGGGCTGGCTATCTCTTTTCCCAAGATGAAGAGGAGGTCTTGTTGGACCCAGTGGGCGGGAGGGCACAGACTCCGATACTGGAAAACCCTTGAGGTAATAGTAATGAGATGTGAGTGGATGTAGCTTCCTCCTTGTGATGGCTCTAAGTCTTAAATCCTCGCTGGAATAAAGCAAGTTGGTCAGTATGTCCCTAGGAGTACTACTTGGCAGGGGCAGGGAGTAGCATTTGATGCCATTGCACCCTTGATGCACGTTCCTTTGAAGCATCTGTGCCCACCGCTAGACAGCTTTAGACTTTTCTTCTGGATCCTGGACCCTTGAACTTGCAGTCACGCAAGCTCTTGGGACCCTCCCAAGCCTTTCTCTTGGTTATCAAAGCCCTTGTAGGGTAATTTTCCTCACCTGAATCAGGAAATCACATCAGAAGGGATGCACCCAGAAAAGCACCACCACACGCAAGAAAAGCAGTCATCCCTGAAAATCACAGCATGTGTGGAAGAAACAAAGCCAAACTGGGAAAGGGTCGGTGGGAATACTGGAGAAAGAGGTGGAGGCTGAGGTCCTGCCACCAACATGGCCTCACACAGTACCCAGCAGAGGCCCTGCAGGGAGACAGCCACAGCCACGGACTGAGGACCTGGCACTGCAGAGCCCTGGGGTACGCACGGTGTGAATGGAGGCTGTGTCTCATGCACTCTGGAGGTGGAATTAATCTTCAGGTCTTGCCTTTTTCTTTTTTTAAGAAAAGAATCACTTAATTTTATTATTTATTAATTTGCTACAGGGCACACATGCTCATCAGAGACAGAGAAGGTGAAAAAGCAAGCCACTATATCCGGGACTCAAACCATGGTCGGCTATGTGGGTGACCAGTGCCTTAGCCACCATACCACCTGCTGACCCTGGTCTCCTTTTCATAGAAGTCTTAGCCCATTGTGTGATTGTGGAGGCTTATTGAGTCCCAAATGTAGGATGCCCTGGGGTGGTGGGCCAGAGACACAGGAAGAGTTGCAGTTGGAGCCCAAGGGTGGTCAACAGGCAGAATGCAGAATTCCTTCTTTTTCGAGATGGGTCAGTTTTTATTCTAGGGAAATCTTCAATGATTGGATGAGGCCCAAAACCTGTCAACTTAAATGTTAATCTCATCCAAAAACACCTTCATAGGAACATTCAGAATTGTATTTGACAAAATGTGTGTTAACCACGTGTCCAGCCAAATTGATACATAAAAGTAACCATCACTCTGCTTATTTTAAAAAAAGTAAGATGGCATGCCAGCAGGTGGCATGGTGGTTAAGGTGCTGGACATTCCCACATGGCCAAGGCTGGTTCAAGTCCTGGACCTGGTGACTTGCTTTCTCACTTTCTCTCTCTCTGTCTCTCTGATCAAAACAAAATAAGTAAATGAATAAATAAAGTAATTTGGGACCAGCAGATGGCGTCATGGTTGCATCACTGGACTCCCATGTAGTTGACCAAGGTTTGAGTCCTGGACCCAGCGGCTTAAAATTTACATGGGCGTGAGTGCTTGCATGTCCAAGGTAAGAGGAGAGTGGAGGGGAAGGGATTGTGGCGTAGCCACCCCCACTTGGGGGGTGACGACTTGCTCTCTGTCTCTCCAGAGAGTGTGTGCGCTCTATAGCAAAAATCTCTCTTAAAAAAATTAAAGAATATGCTTATGGTAGCTATGTTGTAGAATGTCTCCGTCTGGGCTTCCCTGACGTTTGCTCATGATGAGACTGCAGGTATGGGTTTAGGGGAAGGACACTACAGAGGTGACATGCATTTTTATCCCATGTTGGGGACACGGCATCACATCCCTTGGTCACTGGTGAGTTGGACTTCGGCCATTTGCTTAAGGTGGGATCTGTCAGTTTTCTGTGCTATAAAGTTTCTATTTTCTCTTTCCACGTTCTGTCCTTCCTGGGCAAGTCACTAAGTCCAGGCCACTCTGAAGCGGAGTATCTGTATCATCTGTATCAGTACGACTCATGGGTATTTACTTTAGAGGTTATAATCCATTAGTACCATTATAGATTTTGTCACCAAAGCTTTTCAGCTTTGGCCATTGGGAGCTCTTTCACGTTGGCTCTTGTGTACTTGTTTATTTTAAAAGAATTATTTATTTAATTTGTCATTATTTCAATTACTTTATCATGACTGTTATTACTAGTTTTTATTTTGCTAACAGAGCGTGCTTTAACTATCACACCACCCCTAACTCTTGTGTACTTTTAACATGCCAACTCTGTGTGTGTGCGCATGTGTGTGCGTGTGTGTACACACGTGCAGGTGCACTTTATACATTTCTGGCACCACAGCCTGCATCATTTTGTATTTTTTCTGACTCAGTCCTAGACTTCTTTCTCCCAGGTGTTCTGGTTCTTTTTACTGAAAAATGGTGTTAGAAACCAATGTCTGGGAACCAGCAGTTAGAGTAATGGCTATGTCGCTGGACTCCCATGTAGTCGACCCTGGTTCGCGTCCCGGACCCGGTGGCTTAAAACTCACGCCGGGCGCGTGTGCGTGCATGCCCAAGATCCCGAGAGGAGAATGGAGGAGAAGGGATTGCGGCATGACCATCCCCCTTGGGGGGTGATTTCTTGCTTTCTGTC